CTTTTTTTTTTTTTTTTTTTTTTTTGTAACATTACAAAACCACAGAAACTGGCAGGAGGAATCTAGGGGAGGTACCGAATTGGAAACAGTTTTGAGCTTTAAGGAAAAAAAGAAAAATAAAAAATAAATAAAAGAATGAAAGCAACAAGATTAAGCAAATAATCTTAATTTTTTAATTAAGATTAAAATTCCCACCCCAGAGGTGCTGGGAATGCGTGTCCTTGTTGCTGTGTGGCCGGGCTGGGATGGGACTGGGCACCCAGGGATGTTTCATGGTGGAAAGGAACATCCCCACACCCAGGGGCTCCTGAAGCTGGATCTGCCCTGGGTTTCCTCCCTAAGCAACAAGATTAAGCAAATAATCTTAATTTTTTAATTAAGATTAAAATTCCCACCCCAGAGGTGCTGGGAATGCGTGTCCTTGTTGCTGTGTGGCCGGGCTGGGATGGGACTGGGCACCCAGGGATGTTTCATGGTGGAAAGGAACATCCCCACACCCAGGGGCTCCTGAAGCTGGATCTGCCCTGGGTTTCCTCCCTCCTGGCCTGTCCTGATCCCTCTGCGGAGCTGCCTCTCTGGTGTGGCAATGCCTCACCACTCTTGCACCAGGATTTGGCCCCAGCCCTTACCAGGAATGGGGTTTGCTAATAGTTTGCAGTTTGACAGCAGGAGCGGTGCCCGTAGGACTTTGCGGGGGAGGACATACCTGGTGCCCATCCCCATCCCACCGCTTGCCGTGGCGTGTGCTTCACGCTGGCCACTTCTGCGCCCAAACCACTGCTGAAAAGAGCCTGGATGTTTGGTTGATTTTTTTCCCATTGATAAATGGCAGCACTGTAAGGCATTTCTTTCCGGGTATTCTTTCCCTTTCTCTTCCTGGCTGGCTGAATGAGCTGTTTTCCCTCCGCCTGGCTCTGACCTTCCTGCGTGCTGGGCCGTGTGCTGCTGGAAGGCGCTGGTGGGGAGGAGCAGGGAAGCGGGTGTTGGATGTGCACGGCACAGGAAGCGGCTGCGAGCTGGAGAACTGCCAACGCTGGGTAGTTTTTCCTCTCTTAATTAATAAAAGGAAAACATCGAGCTCTCCTTTGGAGTATGTTTGTGCTTTGGAGTAGAGGCACGCTGCTGATGGCGGGTGCTGTCGCTCAGGATGTGATCTGCAGCTTGGCAGTACCCAGGGGTTGGTGCTCTCTGCACAATGCCAGGCAGAAGCAACTGAGTTTGGTGTTTGTGGCTGGGGTTTTACCTCCTCCCAAGGCCTCAGCTCTGTCCCATTTGCACAGTGTCTATAACACCACCAGTTGCCATTAAGCATTGTGTTCCCTGAGCTGGCAGGGCTGAGTTTCCCTGTGTGCAGGAGCCTGAACTCATGCAGCTGCCTTCATGCCAGGGGCTGGTGCCCTTCCATGGTCCCTGACCATCCATCTCTGTGGTGCTGGTCCATGGTGAGCTGGTTTCTTCTGTGTCTGATGTGTTTCTCTGCTGTTTCTTTGCAGGCCAAACCCATTTATGGTGGCTGGCTGCTGCTGGCCCCAGAAGGAACGGACTTTGACAACCCTGTCCATCGCTCCCGGGTAAGTGAAGCCCTGTGCTGCACATGGGGGTCGCACAAGGAGTGGCAAAGGCCTGTCCCTGCCTGCGGGGGTGGTTGTGGCCTCTGGAGTGCTGCAGGCATCTCCATGTACCCATCCCCTTGTGCAAACCAGGAAGCTGGGAGATGTTTCCTGTGCTTGCTGTGGGATGTGAGGTCTCCCGTGCTGGTCAGCAGGCTGGGGTGCTGCAGGGGCTGGTCAGCTCAGTCCATGTAGTTTCGTTGCTCGCTGCTCCTGCTTCTTGATGCCTTGATGCTGCTTGGGTTGGCCTGACACGTGTCTCGCTGATGGGAAGGCTCTCAGGCTGTTGGGGTGTGGGCTGTGCAGCTCTGAGCTGTGCTGGGACCATCAGCGAGGCACCCAGTTTCCTTCTGGTGCTTGGAAACAACTACTTTTATTTTCTGCAGCTCATCATGGGCATTCCCAGAGCCCTGGGGGGAGGCTGTATCCCATTCCCTAATGCAGATACCCCTGTGTCAGGCAGGCCCTGCAGCAAGGAAGGGGCTGGGAGGTGATTCCCATTTGTAGAGCTCTGAATCCAAGTGTGTTGGCAGCAGAGACCCAGAGCGGGGCACGCTCAGCCTCTGTCCAAAGGGGTTTGTTTGTGCCTTGCAGAAACAGCAGCACCGTGTAGGGTCAGAGCATCCCCCACTTTCCTTCCCTGAGGGGTGTGAGGCCCAGAAGGACGTGGCCAGGCTGATGTCCTTTCACCAATGGCTTGTGACGAGGACTCCCAGCCTGTCCCCAAGCTGCTCTTACAGGCAACTTGCTGCTGAGGCCGCCAGGACAGGCCTGTCTTGTGCGTGGGAGGGATGGCAATGGTCCGTGAACTCTCTGTCATGCAGCCAAAATGCTCTCAGAGCTGCTAGTAATAAAAAAAACCTCTCTGCCGAGTGAACAAGAATTGGATTCTGAGTTCAGCCTGGGGTATATGGGTCATTATTTGAAGTCACAGCTAGTCACAGGCTGCTGGCCCAACATTGTGGGGACATGGGATTCAGGTACCCCATGGAGCAGAGGGCTGCCTGCAGAGCTGGGGCATGCAGACGTCCACAGGATCCTCAGTAGTTTTGCTTGTCCCTGAGCACCTTGGACTTTGCCCAAAGGGCTGAGAAAAGCAAGATAAGAATTGCTGCACTGGGGCTATGAATCTAGGATCTTTTTTATTTCAGCCTGCTCAACCAGTTTTTGCTCTTGGCTGAATACAACCTGGCACACATTAAAAAAAAAAAAGGCAATTTCCCAGCCAGATCAGCTCTCCAATCTAGTTTGCTGTGCAGCTGCAGAAGCAGCAGTGCCAGGGATGCAGGACCGCCTGAGTAGTGCCACCCCTGGAGATGCAGCCGCCATCCGAATCGAGTTCCTGCACTACTGGAGGATGTCTAGTGTGACACCTTGTCACCCTGCAGCCCTGGGTGCTGGAATAGACCATGCAGGGTGAAGCTGAGAGCTGGGAGCACTTGGTTGGGGGGATCTTTCTGTTGTCCTGCAGGTCTTGGGTCTCTTGGAGAGCAGTGATGGGATCCTTCAGGAGAGGAGGAGGAAAGTCCTGGTTCCAGCCTAGGATCTGGAGTCTTGTCTTTGGTTATTTTTGTCCCTTGTCTGGTTAAACCAGGCCAGCTTGGGGCCTGTCTGTACACAGAGAGGAGCGGGGTGGCGAAGCGACCCCAAAACAGCCTCTTCTTGAGTGCACACAAAGCCAGGCAGTAAATCAGCACTGAGCAACGTGGGCTGGGGTGAACAGACCTCCGGCAGAGCCCTGCGAGATGGCCTTTGCAAAGCCCACAGCATCCAAGATGACTGGGTTTGGGGTGTGAGGGGCTGAGGAGAAATACTTCTGTAACATCAGTCACCCTTTAGGAACGATCCCTGCAGTGTTGAGAGGTTCCCCCTACTTTTTTGGCAGCTGTGGTCTGGTGTTCAGTGAGACCCAGGCCCTGTTGTCATGACCCCTCCTGCCACGGAGGGTTTTTGGTGCCTTTTCTCTGCCCCATGTTTGTGGGGCACAGCACTGGTGTCCCCAGTGAGGCTCAGAGGCTGATGGGCACTGTCATGACCCACTTCGCTGTCTTCTCTTGCAGAAATGGCAGCGTCGGTTCTTCATCCTCTACGAGCACGGGCTGCTGCGCTACGCCCTGGACGAGATGGTAAGTGCTGCTCGAGGGAGATGTGTGGCCGTGTTTGGGCTGTGGGGATCAGCCAGGGCCACCTCTGCTGCCCCTGGAGGAGCCTGGGGTGATGCTCCTGGTTACACAGCGTGGGGAGGTCTGTGCCAAACTGGTGAAGAGTTTTGCTCTCTGGGTTTGACTTATTGCTGGGCTGTGCTGCATGGGAGCTTGACAAACAGTCTGCAGAGCATGGTGAGTGTTTTTGGAGGTGTGTGGGTCCCACCTGGTGTGGGGTTGCTCTGTTGCCAGCAGATCCTACACTGTTGGGGAGTGCTGAGGGGTTTCTCAGAGTCCTCCCCCCTCCTTTCTGCCCTGTTCCTCAGTGCCAGGTGGGGTTTGGTGGTGGTGAATCGCCTCGGTAGTGCCTGGGAAGGAGGCGATCTCCTTAGAGATGCCCATGGAAAGTAGGTCAGCTGGAACGCCTTCCCGCTGCTTGCCCACCCTGGAGCTGCAGCACGCCGTCAGCACTGCTTCCCTCAGTAAAAAGAGGGGGGAGACAAATGGAAGGGAAACCCTCGGGTCCACTGTGAGCTGTGAAGTGAAGGTGCTGTGCCCAGCGGGGTCAGCGCTGCTGTGACCACCTGGGCTGACAGTTTGCCCCCCTGGCTACAGCGAGCCCCTGGGGGGTGCCTGGCGTTGAGCGTGCTGGCACAGTGGGTGCCTGTGTGCTGAGATCTGCCTGGGCGGGAGGTTCAGGAAGCTGGGAATGCCTTGATGTGGGGCAGCATGTGTGCACACGTGGGGCTGGGACATGCGGGGACATGCAGGGACCTGTGTCTGCAGCAGGGAGGCTCCGTGTGAGGGTGGCATGTCTTGGTCTTCCGCTGATGTCCCCTGCGAGGGCACCATGGGGCGAGGGGACATGGCAGCACAGTGAGCGTTGCTTGTGTTTCCTGCCTTGTTTGTTTGTATTTTTTCTTGGGGTTGATCCAAGTGCCCTAAATAATTTAAGTGTCTCAGGAGTGGTGGAGGTTTTCAATACATTTTTAGTGTCTCTCCAACCTGGCTGTGTGCTGGGCTGGTGTTTTGTGTCCTGCAGTGACAGGAGAGCAGTGTGCAGCTGGCTGGTGTGGGGGAGATGCCCTGTTTTGAGGAGAGGTGGAAGGATGTTGGAAAAGCCAATTTTTAATGGGTGTTTTTTTGCTGTTTTGCATCCCGGGGAGGTTGACCAGCCCCAGGTGCTGGTACATCTAGGCAGGAGCAGATGGGCGATGCCCCAACCCTGTACCCTGCCCTCCAGACCTCTGCAGGGGACCAGAGAGCATGCAGAGGACAGGGGGAGTGTCCTGGAATTCTCCAGACACCTCTTGGGCTTTTTTCCCTTGAGAAGGGAAAAAGTGACAGGAAAAAACCAAACAAAAAGTGAGTGTCCCAGGCAGCACGATGTACCACCGTGCTGGCACCTCTCCATGCCCTGCGTGCCTTGGGGGATGGCTCAGACCCAGCAGAGCATCACTGGGACCGGGCAACAGGACCTGCTACCCCCGTGGCCCTTTGTGGTGTGATGGGTCCCACTGGCAGAGGGCAGGAGGGCTTGGTTCAGCCTTGCCATGGCCATAGATGGAGAAGAGATTGTCACCGCTCACTCCTCCTCATCGGGGTCTGACACATAGAATAAAAATACCCTCCTGACCTTTCTGTGGAGCACGTCAGCGCGTGGGATCCACGCTGCTGTTCGCACTGGCTCTGCTGAAGGTGTCACCTGGCCACAGCTGGGCACAGCCTCCCCCAGCCCCTACCAGTCCATGCCACCAGAGCATCCCCTGCCACGCTGGCCAGACTGGGGCAGGAGGAAAAACCCCCTTACACCAGAACCAGGTGCCTGTGCAGGTTTTAGCCCTCAGCCCTTGGCTGGTCTGTATGAGGAGGGGGGAGACCTGTAGGGAGCGACTGGGCACAGTGTGCTGAGCACATCGGGGCTCAGCTGTAGTGCAGCTTTCCTGTCTGGGCAGAGTGCAGTGTGGCTCAAAGGGTGTCACGGCTCTGCTGGGTTTGGAACTGACTGTCACTGTCCCACAGCATGAAGCTGTGATGGCTGAGCCTTGGGAGTCACTGGAGGGGACTGGTGACACTCAGGTCAGGCTGCTGGCAGGTATGTCCCCATGGGGGATGCAAGGACCCAGCCCTGTGCCCGTCACACCTTGGGCTTTGCTGGCTGGGGTTGCTGGGGGACACTGGTTTCTCCCTTAAGGTGGTCACCTGCTCCCTACCTGTGGCTCTTCACTCCTCTGGCTGTGTCAGCTCCTTGCCATGTCCCCACCAGCTCTGTGGGCCAGGGAGGAGTAAAAGGGCCAGAGCCTCGCCCAGGAGATGCCTCTCCGATGCACAGCGAGGCCAGTGTTTTTTGTGTGGGTGATCCACTTTGCAGCCCATGCAGGGACGATCTACCCCCAGCGTGCCCCAGTTGTCCCCCCAGGAGCTGGGTGGGGGTCCCATGGGGGACTCGGCGCTGGGATGACCTCCGCAGTGTGCCGGGAGCTGGGCAGCAGCTGGCCAGAGACCTCCCAGGTAGTTGCAAGCGGGGATTGAATTGCTTTGCCTTGAACCTGTTAGACATTAATTTTGTGGGTTTGGCAATTTCTGCTCTTATTAAAAGCAGGAGAGGAGGGAGGGGTGGGCTGAGGAGGGAGGGGTGGGCTTGGGAGGGGAGCCCTGGACTGGCGATAGTGGCAGAGGCACTCCCGTGTCCGGCCAGGGAGACCTGGCATCTCATTCCTGATGGGTTGGAGAGCAGTGGGGTGTGAAGGGATGGCTCGAAGCCCAGCCATGAGCTGGAGAGATCTTGGTGGGTACCCAAAGATGTTGGTGCTGTGGTACACAGAGGCCATGGGATGGGGCAGCCTTGGGCACAGGAGCCTTGTGCCATGGAGTGGGTCAAGTTTGGTGTTGGACTGGAGCATTTTGGGCACAGAATTCCCTTAGCAGAAGGTGGGACAAGCTGATACCAGCCACCCTGTTGGCATCCAGCCCAGTTCTGAGACTTGCTCACAGGTGTCCTTGAGCTGATCCTGAGTCTGTGCTCCTGCTGTATGTCCATCTTTCCATCTCTCCATCCTCTACCATATTTTCACTCTGAAAACCCAAACCAGTTCTGCACAATGGCTGTGATGGGGAGGACGTGCACAGGCCATGGACCTCCATCCCCTCAGACCCAGGCTGAGCTGCCAGACCTGCTCCCTGGGGTCTCCCTCTTTCACTGGGTGCTGTTCCTGCCAGCAGCCCCAGCCGTGTGCCAGCCCCCAGAGCCTGCCTGGCCTCTGGGAACACCAGGCAGAGCACATCCCCTTCCCCTCTGTGGGGAGCGTGCCAACGGCCGTTCCCAGCTCTGCCGAGCCCTGGCTAAGCTGAGCCTGCTCAGACGTGCAGAAATTCCTCCCTCCCAACCATGGGTGGATGTGGAGATGGTGTGATTGCTCGGGGTTGCCTTCCCATGCTGAACCCCTGCGATTACCCCTCAGCACTGGCTTGTTCCTGCTGTTTGATAAATCTCTGTGCTAGGCTGGGTTATGTACGGGGGTTGATATTTCTCCGCAGCAGCTGGAGGATGGAGAATCACCTTTTAAGTTGAGTTGAGGGAAGGTAGGAAAGAGGGTGAAAGGGAGATGGGGACAGGCTTGGGGACAAGGTGCTGCATTGCAAGTGTCCCAGGAGTTTTACCCCTGTGTGGTCCCCCAGTCCTGTGGCACTTCCTTGGTTTTCCCAAGGGATGTGTTCTCTGATTCCCCGTTGCACGAAGTGCAAGACTAAAGCCTGCCAAAAAAACCTGAGCCAAGGCAAATGCATCCAGAGACTTGTTTTGGAGGTGGAAGTGTCACCCAAAGAGCTTAGACCTTTGGTACTTCAGGATATTTGAAAGTGGAGAGAATAAAGTCCTCAGCCTGTGGGGAAACAGCCCTGGCCAGGCTGGGAGGGATCACAGTCACTGGAGGGGACAAGGAGCCACCTGTGCCAGGACACTGAGCAAAAGCTCCCCTGGCTGCATGGCTGCATCCTGGCACAGTCTGTCCAGGAGGAGATGCCCAGGCTGGTGCTGGTGGCTGCACCCTCTGATGTTGCCTCACGCTGTGCAAGATCTCAATCCTCCTGGTGAAACACCCTGCGGTCCCCAGTGAAACCACCACTGCTGCTGCACTGGGAGAGCAGCCCAGCACCACGGTGCCAGGGCAGTTCGTGAGGTTTTGGTTGAGATATGGGAGCTGCCACAAAAATAGTGCCGGGGTGAGGGGATGGAGCCAGAGAGCAGCACATGCAGAGCGTTCCCCTCCTTTTGTTTTGATTGCTGTGATCTATAATTAGCGGGTGAGGTCTCTATAAATAGAGCCCCGCTGCGTGGGAACGGAGTGGAGTGGCAGTGGGTGCTCAGGAGGGGTTTGCAGGGACGGATGGAGAGCACTGTCCCTTCCCTCTCTGGACCTGCATGTGGGTGATGGCCTCGGTGCTGCCTGGGTACTGATCCAGCCTGGTCCCTAGAGCAGGTCTGAGGAAAGGGTCTGGATCTGCAGCCTAGCTTCTTAATGACTCATTATGTGTCCATGGGCCAGGCCTAGTCTCTGTGCCTCAGTTTACCCTTCTGCCATGTCCCTTGGGCTGGATTTATACTAGGTTGGCTTATCTGCCAGTGATTTGCTTCCAGCAAGAGCTGCATCCAGCCTGGGGGCATTCTCCCATCACACCAGGACTCCTTTCAGTTTCTGCCTGAGACTATTAATTTTTTTTCTTTCTTTTGTGGATATGCTGGTTTGAAATCAGGACAAAATTCAAGCTCACCTGGGAGCATCTCAAACTTGCTGGCGTTGTGGATAACTAACGCCAAGGTGAGAGCATCTTCTGGATGGGCTTTCCCAGCTCCTGCATGAGGGATCAGGAGGAGCATCCCTGGGCACCACGTGTCCTTCTCCCAATAAACTGACCTCGCTCCGTGTCTGGCACCTTCCAGTGTGGATGGGCTGTGAGCCCTGCCCCTTACTTGCTGAAGTCAA